AATTAACATTTAACTTTTAACTTTGCCCTTTTCAGGAGACGTCGGTAAGTCTTTATCCCCTACCTGATCGCATCCTCAGGAAACAAGCGAGTTCCCCATCCCCTTCCCCCCCAGGGAAGGACCGGAGGACACTCCCAAAAGGGACTTGCCGAACGTCCTGGGAAATGCGTTCTCGTCTTCGAGGTGACGGCGGAACGAAGACTAGGGCGAATCTCCCCATCTTTGTAATCGTGTAGAACGGTAACGTTCTGGCTTCCCGGAGAGGGGACTGACTGAAATGTAGGTACAACTCCCACTAAGGTCCCCCCCTCTTCATATAGGCCACGCTATTGCGACATGCTCAGGAGTTTTAGTGGGTATGGTTCCCGGTTAGGCCTTTTTTTCGAATCCCATACCGAGCCCCACACTCCCTCTTCGGAGGGGTTGTGCGTAACTTGCATTTCTCCTGAGTTAACAAAAAAAAAAAAAAAAAAAAAAAAAAAGGTATCCGTGCCGGCAGAAAAAAACACCAGACAGCCAAAGAAGCAGGCAAAAGGTTGAAGTATAGAAATTTAGAAATTGAAATAGTCAGGATGTGGGGAACAGGAAAACAAAAACTATCCCGGTCATCGTGGGAGCATTGGGAGCCATGCCACATTCAATGAAAGGAAATTTAAAGAAGACTTTAAAGAACCTAAAAGAAGAAATTATCCAGGAAATTGCACTATGTGGGACGGCCCACATTCTTCGGAAAATATTTTAAATAGCACCACCGAAATTCGAGTATTTGTCCCTAAGGAATCGGGTAGAAACCTGGGATAAATGCTTAAAAACCCGAAAAAATAATAGCCTTGTGGTGTTTAAGAGTGACCGTAATAATAAAAGTTACGTAACTCGACGAATTAACGGACGAACGAAGAAACATAATAAAACAAGATTTCATCACTCTTGTAACAACAACAACAACAACAACCACAACAACCGCAATTCGATCACGTACACCGGATAGGATGATTCTTATATACAATCAAAAATTTTGGCCTCTTCTCAAAACATTCCGAATGTCATTCGTTTGTTCGTTTGTTTGCTTGTTTGTCGTTCGTTTGTCCTTCGTTTGTACGTTTTTATTTACCACGGTGATGATAATGATAATGACGAGTAAGATTATGAAACGAATTAATTTTATTGCAAATAAAAAATTGTTGGTGTTGTTTTACAAACGAGTCGGTGCGACAAGTGAAGAGGTATACCACACGGTGGGGGATATGGAGTTAAAGGGCGCGGCAATCGACGTGTAGTGGGGGGAGGGAGAGGGTAAGGAGAAACATAGAGGGCAAATTCGTTTCGATTAGTAATTGTTTAAACAAATAGAATTTTTAATTGTTTTTAAACTCTCACAACCTTGGCATATTTCAACGCACGTTTTTTTTTCAATTTATTCCAGAATTTTAATAAAAAAAAAATTTTCATGAAAACAAACGATCGGCGGCCATTTTGAAAAAATTTATTCTAACGTTTAAGAATTTTTTTTATGGGTTTTTTTTAACAAAAAATTCGTGATTGCTTTTGTAACGAACGTTTTTTTTAAATAATAATAATAAATTACAAACAAACAAACGAACAAACAAACATGACGTTATAATAAATAATTATGATGATGATGATGATGATGATGATGATGATGATGATGATGATGATGATGATAACGTTAAAAATTTGATTAATTATAAAATGTCATCGTTTCGATTAGGAAGAAAAAGAAAAAAAAAAGAAATCCCATCTCTCTTTCTTTCTCTCTCTGTAATAATTATTGTTGTTATTTTACAATTTCGAAAGGGAAAGGAGAGAGAGAGAGAGAGAGAACGTATTAGGGAGAGTAAAAAACAAAGAGAGAGAGACGATTGAAAAAAAAAAAATTATAATTTCGCCATTATTTTTCATTCATTATCAACGTTTGTTACTTACTCGAATATTATTATTATTATTATTTCCTTAAACCGTCACTGTTAAAAATTATTTCCTAGTCACTTTTGAACGAGTAGAAGTAGAAGAAGTAGTAGAAGAAATACTCGTGTTACTCCCTCCAAATCTTTTAGCAACTGAAAAAAAAAAAAAATTAGTTCGAGTGGGATTAAAATTTTTTTTCTCTCTCTCTCTCTCTCTCTCACTCATTCTTTCTCGATTTTAAATCAATAACGTGTAACGCCGCGTTCGACAAACGTGGATTTCGTACCGTGTTTTATTATTATTATTATTCGTTTTTTTTTTTTTTAATTTAAATTTATTTATTAGTTTTTTTGTTTGTTTGTTTATTGTGTCGACATTTTTTTTTATAAAGTGAATTTTTTTTTTGGGGGGTGATAACAAGAAAAGTTATTTAAATATTATATTAAAAACGCCATAATTTTACGCGGCGTTATCTATTGTGCGTTTTATCATTAACCGGAAATAGGTGAGCCACACCTTACAGAAAATTTTTTCATTTTTTGATTTTACGCGTGCGTTTTTAACGTTTGGGATCCGATAATTTTTTTTTTTTTACGCGTGAATTTCGTGCAACAAACAACAAACGCAACAACAACAACAACAATAACAAGAAATGAGAAAAAACTAGGAAATCCGTGCGTTGAATTTATTTTTGTTCCGGTGAAAGTATTTTCGTGCATTTTTTTAATCAAACCTGATTTTTTGTTTCGTACAAACGCCCAAATTTTTAACGACACACGAATTCGTTTAAATTTGAAACGAAAAAAAAACCCGCGAAAAATTTTTTTAAATTTTCTACCACACCCTTATCATCCTTCTTATCATCACGATAAGGGGGGGGTACGTTGTTACCCTAATAACGATAATTATTTCTCGCCGCCATTTTGAATTTTTTTTTTTTCATTTAAATCTCTAAATTAATTTTAATTATTAATTACGTAATAATTTACGGTTGGATACATTGCGTAGTTTTAATTACACATTTTTTTTAAAATCTTGCTCTAATAATAATAATAATAATAATAATGATGATGATAATAAATAACGGTAATAAATATTTTTGTTGAGAGTGAGAAAAAAAAAAGGGAGAAATTTTCAGTTGATTTGAGGGGAAAGTATAAAAATCAATTTTTATATATATATATAAATATATTCATCGGGTGAAAGTAACAACAAAAAAAAATTTTTTTTCAAACATCAAATTAATAGACGACGTCTCGATATGTGTGCAAACGCACAAACGTAACAAACGAACAAACATTTATCGAACAACTCGTATTTTTTTTTGTTGTTCTTGTTTTTGTCGAAATGCATAAAGTTGTTACATTAATTCAACATTTTTTATTAGAATTTGTCTTATTTTCGTTTTCGTGCGAGAGTTTAAAACAAACAAACAAACAAACAAACGAACAAACGAGAAAAAAAAATTTTTTAATGATATTTTACGAAACCAAAAACGACAATCACGACGACGACGTGATGAAAAAAACTGGAACGAAATTTTTTTTTTTGTTTGTTTGTTTGTTTGTTTGTTACGTAAAAACCGTGCAACAACAACCGATTAAAAATAATAATAATAATAATAATTTTTTTTATGTGTGGTAATTTAATTGCTACTGGAAATAAGGAAAAAAATTACTCAAGTAATGTTTCGTAATTATTTATTACGGAATTTTACCGTAATTAATTTTTTTTTCGTGTCTGCAACCGTCGTCTTCTGCTACGATTTCGCATCGCGCATTTTAATAATAATAATAATAATAAGAATTTTTTCGTCCGTCTGGAAAATCTCGAGGTTATTATAACCTCACGTTGTTGATAGTAATATATTTTTTAAAGGTACAACCATTTATCCAGGAAGAACAAACCTTCAAAATAAAGGTTAACCTTTAACCTTCGACGTTTTTTTTATAAATTCACGAATTTGGCCTTAATTTTTATTTGTATTAATTTTCCATACCTCCAGTTAACTCCAGTTTACTTTTCCTTCTGAATATTTAAAATTTAAACTAAGTAATAATTCGGTCATGGATTTGGAATTTTTTTTCACGCGTCCTCACCGGTAATAACTAACAATTATTATTATTATTATTATTAGAAAAGATGAATAGAAATTTTTTTTTGATTTTATTTTAAGAATTAAAAACGCGCGTAAAGTTTGATACCGTTATCAAAAATTTTACCTTTTTCCCAACGGTTAAAAGAATTTTTACTAAAAATAATTCAAATCGTTTCGTCATCAAAAACTTTCCGTCTTTTGGTTGTAACAATTTTAAAATAAATTCAATCACCATCGATAAATCGATCGATCGATCCATCGATCGATGAAAATAACCATAGTCGTTAAATAACGCACCAACGCTCGAGGGTTATATAAAACATGATTAGAATATAATAAAAAAAAAAAACGCGGCGTAATTTAATAATAACAAAAATTCTTTCTACAAATCGAACGAAAGCGAAAGTTTTTATGTTATTAAAACGAAAAAAATTTAAATACAATCGAACGATCGATCGATCGATCGATCCATCGATCCATCGAATCGATTATATCGAAAGTGAGAACAGGTGTGGGATGGTAGATAAAGAAAAAAAAAAAAACGTTTGTCATCTTCTTCTTCTCGATACAACATTTCGTACCTGAAATTATCATCATCATCATTATTATCATTATTATCATCATCATCATCATCATCATTATTATCATCGATTTTAATAGCGACAAGTTCCATTAAGAGTCGAAGTGTATTTTTGTCATTCCAGGTTTTTCCCAATTTTATTCTCGTGTAATAATTTTACGCTCGCTTTATTTATTTCCAGCCGCCGACAGGGAGAACAAAAACACACACAAAAAAAAAAATTTAATTTCACTTTCGATTCGCTTCACGAACGATTAATCGAACCTGTTTTTTTTTTTTTTTAATTTCCAGGCATTTTTATTTATCTATCGAATGCGCGCGCAAACTCGATAAAAACTCGAATCGAATTGAAATTTTTTATTTCGGTATTTAAAAAAGAAAATAAAAAGGGAAAAAATGTCTTTGGGATCGTTTCGTGTAAACGTTAAAAAATGTTTTAATAATAATAATAATAATAATAATAATGTGAAAAGATGGATATCGCATACGGAAAGGAAATCAGATCAATTTATGACGTTAAATTGTGACGTCGATTGGGCGATTGCTAAACCTTACAGTGCCGTACCTGGACCGAAACCTTTACCATTGATCGGTAATACTTGGAGACTTTTACCATACATTGGACAGTATCAAGTATCGGATTTGGGAAAAGTATCGAAAATATTATATGATACCTACGGAAAAGTAAGTTTTATTATTATTATTATTATTAATTAATGATGTCATTATAATGACGTGTAAGTATTTGGTTTTTCTGGAATGTTTTTTTTTTTTTTGTAAAGAGCGGAAGAATAAAAAAAAAAAAAAAACCACAAATTACGGATTTGGTTTGCGGATTTTTTTCTGTAATTTTTTTTTCATTCACTTCCGCTCGATCCCTCTTGCCCCCCCCTCAACTCCTCCCCCCACTTTCTCCCCATTCATTCTGTGAATGTTTTACGATCAATCGATTCAATTAAAAAAAAATTAATCAAATTTTGTCATTAATAAAAAACTTTCACTTTTTTTATTTATTTTTTTTCCCAATCTACGAGCGAATGAATGTTTAAAAAATTTTCCAGGAGGAAGTAACAAACCGGAAATCGAACATAACCCGGTTTTGGAATGATTTCATTCTTTCATTTCGTTCTCATCAGTCATCTCATTATGTGGTAACCACGATGGTCAAGATCGTTAACTACTCGTTTTCTTCTACCTCCGCTCCCTTCCCTTCCTCCTCCTCTTCCTCCCGTCTTCGTAACAACTTTAATTAAGGCCGTTATGGAGAAATTACGTAGTGCGTGCGTGCGCGTGCGTGCACATTTGAGATTCGCGCCCAAAAGAGAAAGAAAAAATCAACTTTCTGACCGTATTATTTTTATAATGAAATTCATCGCGAGGAAAAACGTAATAGCGGCCAAGAAAAAAACATTCCAGTAATGCCAAAAGTGAAACTTTAAAAAAAAAACGATTAAATAATAATAATGATAATGATAATGATAAATTTCCATCACGGAAACAAGTATTTAAAAAATAAAAACCGATTCCAGTTTTTTTTTTTTTTTGCAAAATCAATGTCAAAACGTTGAGTGACGTCATAAAAAAATTTTTTATACATTTACAGGTTGTAAAAATGTCTGGACTTATTGGAAGACCGGATTTGTTATTTTTATACGATTGTAACGAAATAGAAAAAGTTTACAGGAACGAAGGACCGACACCGTTCAGACCATCCATGCCATGTTTGGTCAATTATAAAAGTCAAGTAAGAAAAGATTTTTTTGGAGAAATGGGTGGAGTCGTCGGAGTGTAAGTCGTCATACAATTATCATTATTATCAATATGATAACGTAGGTAGTGGTAGTAGTAGGGGGATGAAAATTTAATTTCTGATTACAGACACGGTGAACCCTGGAGAAAATTCAGGACGAAAGTACAGAAACCCGTATTACAAATTCAAACTGTCAAAAAGTACATACAACCCATCGAAGAAGTCACGCTGGATTTTATCAATAAGTAAGGAGGGGGGGGGGTCACCAAAAATCCTCATCACTAAAATCAATTATTTAAGGTCACCCCACAAAAACCAAAGGTTTGCGGTGATGACGTCACAAGGCAAACCGTCCAATTAATTTATCGAATTTTTCCAGAATCGAAAAAATGAGAGATGAAAATTTAGAAATGCCAAAAGATTTTGATAACGAAATACACAAATGGGCACTGGAGTGTATCGGTAGAGTTGCTTTAGACGTTAGATTAGGTTGTTTAAATGATAACTTATCACCGGATTCGGAATCGCAAAAAATAATTGAATGCGCACGTTACGCACTTAGAAACATCGCCATATTGGAATTGAAAGCACCCTTCTGGAGGTACATTCCGAGTTCATTATGGACGCGTTACGTTAAAAACATGGATTATTTCGTAGAGTGAGTGAATTTTCCCCGCCCGATTTTCAAACCTCAGAAAATTAAACCTTAATCGTAACCTTTTTTTTTTTTTTTTCCAAGAACCTGTATGAAACACATAGATGCCGCCATGTTGAGATTAAAAGAGAAAAAGTCTGTGAATGAAAATGATTTATCGCTCGTTGAAAGAGTTTTAGCAAGCGAAACGAATCCGAAAACTGCATATATATTAGCACTTGATTTGATATTAGTAGGAATCGATACGGTAAATATCGATATATCGAATTAAAAATTATATCGAACGACTATTATCGGAATAATCGTTTCAGATTTCTATGGCTGTTTGTTCGATATTGTATCAATTGGCAACGAGACCTTTAGAACAAGAAAAAATGTTTTTAGAATTGAAAAAAATTTTCCCCGATCCAAAATCTAAAATCACGTCGAAAAATTTAGATGAATTACATTACACGAAAGGTTTTATACGGGAAGTTTTTAGAATGTATTCGACCGTTATCGGAAACGGAAGAACTCTACAACAGGATACAGTAATCGGTGGTTATCAAATACCAAAAGGAGTAAGTTTTCACTTTTCCTACCTAAACCTAAAAAAAAAACAAAACATTTTTTTAAAGAAAACAATTTACAGGTACAATTAGTATTTCCGACATTAGTTACCGGAAACATGGAAGAATACGTTACGAAACCAAATGAATTTTTACCGGAAAGATGGATTAAAAATACCGGATCTGACGTACAATATAAATTTCATCCATTTTCATCTCTTCCATACGGACACGGTTCTCGTATGTGTTTGGGAAGAAGATTTGCCGATTTGGAAATACAAGTTTTACTTGCTAAGGTAAACAACTATCGTTCAATCGATTAATCGATCGATAAATCGAATTTTTTTCTCATCGAGTTTTTTTTTTTTTATTACAGTTAATTCGTAACTACAAACTCGAATTTTTACATAATCCTCTCGACTACAAAGTAACATTTATGTATGCCCCTGATGGCGACCTTCAATTTAAAATTACGAATAGAAATAATTGACCTCTCCCCCCCTCCCCATCACCCATCATTAAAATATTACGTAAGTTTTACCTCCTCCTCCTCCTTCTTCTCCCCGCGTTCCCCCTCCCCCTTTCAATTCACGACTTGTTTACTTTTCAATTGACATAAATGTTGATTTTTTTATATCGTTTTTTTACGTAATCCATTCTCGTCGTACGTTTGTCGATACCTCCCCCCTCTCCCCCCTTTCCTCTCTCTCTCTTACAATTTACACGAATTCAAATCCAATCATCATCATCATTATGTTAAGTTCGATGACCTAAAACAACCTATCATTTATGATTATTTAAATAATCAATCATACCGAACGCGTAGTCTTCGCGTAGATTTCTCTCCATTTTCTCTTTTTCCAAAACGAAAAATGACTTTCTGGAGAAGACACCTGGAGAAGAAGTTAAAGAAGTAAAAAGAAAAAAATCAAATTCAAAGTGTGTCCAGCAAAATCTTCGGCAAAAAGGCAAACACACGTCAAGTAAGCGAAAAGTTTTCGATGTAAAAAAAAAAATTTTATGCCCCGAAATCGTTTTTATTTATTTTATTATTATTATTATTAAATTACATTCTTGCGTGCGTGCGTGAGTGCGTACGCACGCGTCACGCATATACGTAATCTATACATAATAAATATTTTATTAATAATAAATAAATTTATAATTAAATTTTCCATTTCATTTACATAAAATCCAAACAAAAACTGTGATAATTGATAAAATCCACTAAATTCTTTCGCGTACATAATAATAATAATAATGATAATGATAATAATAATTACCGTAATGTATCTATCTTTATATATATATAAATGCGTGTCCGTGAAATACTTTACGACAACCAGTCGGTGACTTTTTCATTCTTTTTTTTTTATCCTCGATACGACAACCATAAGTGCCACCGTCGACAGAATCGAATCATTCACCCAGATGAGTATGAGAATAATTCGTTAAGATTTTTCTTCCATTTTGCTGGAATTGACGCGAGGCAAACCTCACCAACCAGGAGTCGTGTTTGCTAAACGTCTCATACGCCTGTAATAAAACCGACAAATTAAAAACAAACAAAAAAACAAACAAGCAAGAAAAAAAAACGAGAAAATATTTCGTGTTCTCGCCTTGTATTTCTATCTTGATCTCGAATTTTCTTTTCCATTTCCGCATCCGTCAAAGTTTCCAAAAACGGTGCCCACTGATCGGATTCGCTCGGCGGCCGATACGGTACCTGATGAAGAATACGAACAAAAATAAAATTCAAAAGATTTGTCATAAAATTACAAACCAAAATTTCCGGATATAAGTTTTACTCACTTCAACGACCGGAAGCGGAGCTTCGCTGAAAGCATAAGTTCTCTGATGCCACGTTATTTGACCCCTTATGCTGTACGCAATCGCGGTCACGAATTCACCACCCAAACCTAATTCAGCACATAATTTTTGTGCGAACATCTCGGGAGAATTTTCTTTCTCGGACATGTCCCATTCGACTTGATCAACTAATGAAGTGTTACCAACGTGAATGTTTAACTAAAAAAAAAAAAAAAACAGAAATGATAGCAACAATGAAATTAAATTTTCACTTGGAAAAGCCCTTTGTAAAAGCCCTATCTAAGTCACAAACCTTGACGATAACTCTTTGATCAAATTGTTCAGACAAAATATTATCTGTCGGAAATGCATCCAATTGTTGTCGTATAGCTTGCGCAATGGCAGGAACAAATGCAATAGGATTTAAATCTAAATCGTCACATAAAACCTTTAAATTTAAATTAAAAATTTATGAATCAAATTATAACAAAAGAAAAATAAATAAGAAATGATAAAATAAAAATTTACTTCTGCAAATTGTTCTGGAGTTATCAAAGTTTCATTTTTATTCCATGTGAATGTATCTCGTAATTTTTGACCCTCAATTTCCATATCTAATCTAATCGGAACGAGTACTTCTGTTTGAGATGCATTCTCATGAACAATATTCGGATCAGAATCATCGAAACTGAAAATTTTATAATAAGATTTCTGGAATTTTAACTAATAGATAATTAGAAAATTAAACAAAAAGAGTAATTAAATATTACCATAATGGAAATGTTCGAACTTTTTTATTTTGAACTCTGTTTCTATTTATCGGTGTTGCCTGTGGTACTGCATCTAAATGTGAACTATTCGGAAGATTGGGAACCCAAGGCATTGATTTTTTAGATTTACTCGATGCTGGCATAACAATTTCTGTAGTGTGAATTGAAACTGCTTTGTATTTTTCATCATTACCATCAATTATATCTTCGACCTTTATTAAAAAAAAAAAAAAAGCAAACCCATTTCATTAAAATAATAATAATAATAATTGAAAAATTATTTATTAGTGTAACTCACTTCAGAAGCTCTGAGTAGAGAAACGCTGGATGCTAAACAATGATTACTGACTCCTAAATCTAAAACTCTTTTTCTTTCGTCCACTGTCAAATTCCTTCTGTAAAGTCCTGGATATCTTTTGTATAAGGAACCGCGAAATAATCTTAAATAATTTCCCACCTAAATAATAATAATAATAACAATAACAAAAATCATAAAGATGCTAAACTCGGTATATGCCGAATAACCTCTCCATTAAAATAATCGTAATTAAATATTTTAAATAAAATTTTAACCGTTTACCTCGCTTCCAATGCAATAATACTCTCCATTTTCTTCAATTTGAAAACTTACGGGTTTATCTCCGTAAGTTTTCAATGCCATCCTTCCGGAAAAAATTTTTAAAGATTATATATAAACAACGCAAAGGTAAAATGTTTATTCGAGAACGTGCGTTCAACCGATTTATTAACGTGTAAATAGATAAACGTTATTAATTTATTTTTTTGACGATAGATGACGCTACCGTTTTCATTCGTAAACATTTCCGACTGATATTTAACGTACGTAAACAAAAATTTAAATTTTTTTAAAATTCAATAAAAAAATTAAATTTAAACGATTATTATTCATTATTATTATTATTATTATTATATTGACTCAATGTCAAAATGGTTAAAATTAAAATTGTTATCATAAAAACAAAAAAATGAAACTCTACGAGTAAATTTATTATAAAAAAAATTCCCTAATAAAATCTTTTTAAAATCCTAAAATTACATTATTAAAAATATTATTATCCAATGAAAAAAAAAAAAAACTCGTTTCGAACACAACAACAAAAACAACAACAAACAACAAACGACAACAAAATTTTGTGTTCTTCGAACAGTAAAAAATAAAAAAAAAATAAAATTATCAGTTTTCATTATTTAATATTCAAAATTTAAAATTTAAAAATTAAAAAAAAAAAAAAATTTAATTCCGAGATAATATGAATTAACAGCAAAAATAATGATAATAATAATAATAATAATAATAATAATAAAAGTTAAAATTTATGACTTAACTTTCACCCTGTTATATAATTTGTTTTCCCTAAAAATTTCTCTCTCTCTTTCTCACTCTCTCTATCTCTATCTCTCATTTGTAACTTTTTCCTCCTAAAAAAAAAAACAACCAAAATTTATGCACATCATAAAACAACCGAAATTTTTCCCCTTTCCCGAACCTCCCTCCCTTCCCTCCCTCTCCACCCCCTTCGCAAAAAAAACATAAATATATATAAATAAAAAAAGAAATAATAATAATAATAATGGTGGGTCGGAGATAAATTTTTTTTTTTTTTTTGTTGATTTTGTCCAAACTATAAAATAAATTATAGCAATGCGATGATGGTGGTTATAAACCATAGAATTTGTTGATAACGGTAACAACAACAACAACAACAACGACAAACGGCAAGAGAACAAACGGTTAAAATATATTCAACGATATAAAATATATATTTATGACCGCTAAAAAAAAAAATTCGTTTTATATCTTTTATCACATAAATTTTCGTTTTTTTTTTTGTGCGTTTTTAACGAACCTTTTTTTGTGTTTTTTTTTTCTTTTGTGCGTATGTAACTCATAGTATAAATAAATTACGCGCGCGTTTTTCTCTTCGCGTACGGTAAAATTCTTTTTTTTTTTGTTATAAGTTAAATATAATATTAAATTCGAACGAGCGGTTATGCGTCTTTAACTTCTCCCCTTAGAGAAAAAATTTGTTCCCGATTCGTCATTTAACGCCGCGTCAAATGTGATAAGAAAAAATGATAAGGAAAGAAAATAGGGAAAGAGGAGGATGGTGATGGAAAACGCGAAGGGAAAAATGATTTTGTAATATTTAAAAAAATCAAAACGTTTTTTTTCGAGAACGTGTCTCATTCTGACGGTGATCAGAAAAAAATTAATTTATTTTTAATGTATTATATATCGCTAAAAGTTGCCGAAGACAAAAAAAAATTAAGATAATTATGTAAAAGAAAGAGAGAGAGATTAAAGAGAAAAAGAGTGAGAAAGACGGTGAGAGAAAAAGAAGGAAAGAGAGAGGGGGGTGAAAGAAGAAAAAAAGAGAGGGAGAATAATATTTAAAAAAAATGAAAGAAAGTGAGAGAGAGAGAGAGAAAGAGACAAACAGTGAGAGAAAAAGAGACATATAAAGAGAGGTAAAGTGAAAAAAAGTGAGAAAGAGAAGGACAAACAAGGAGAGAAAAAGAGAGAAAGAGAAAGACAAACGAAAAGAGAAAAAGAGAGAGAAGGAGACAAACAGTGAGGGGGAAAGAAAGAAAAAGGTGAAAGAAGAAAAAAAATGAGAGGAAAAAAAAGAGAGATATAAAGAGAGAAAAAGAAAGAAGAATAGAGAAAGACATAAAAAAAGAGAGAGAGAAACAGTGAAAGAATAACAGAGAAAAAGAGAGACAAAGAGAGAAAGAATAAGAGAGATAAACAGAGAGAGAGAGAGAGAGAAAGAAGGAAGTAAATGAAGAAAAAGAGTGAGAGAAAAAAAGAGAGAGAAAGAAAGAATAAAATAATAGAGAAAAAGCGAGAAAGAAAGAAAGAGAGAGAGAAAGAGAGAGAAAGACAAAGATGGAGAGAGATAGGGTAGGGTAGGAGAGGAGAGGAGGTAAAAGAAAAGTAAGCTGTCAAAAACATGGACTTTTGATGTAGAAAACAATAAAAATTACTATTCAAAGGCTCGTACGTAAAAAACCTTAGGAAGAAAAGCCCTTGGGAACGTGTCGCAGATGATGATGATGATGATGATGGCATGGCGACATATGTCGACCCTAATGTGGTCGCAGTTCTTTGATTTCAATCTGACAAGAGAAATGAAATTTCCCAAGAGTACAAAATGAAAAAAAAAAAAAAAAAAAAAGACAAACCACGACAAAAAAAAAAAAAAAAAAAATAAAAACTTTTGAAAAAAAAAAAATATCGACAAATTTTTTTTTTTCTCCAGAAATATATTATTATTATTATTTTTCCAGTAAAACAAACAAATGGAAGATTTATTTAAAATTATTATTAGTATTATTATTATTATTAAAATAACTTTTTATTATTAATTTTAAAACAAATAAATTTTGTGATTAACTAACCGTAGAAATTAAATTTAAAAAATTTTTTTTTCTTTTTGTTCGTCTTCTGCTTTCCCCCCTTTCCCCAATCCCCCGTTAATAACTTTAAATAATATTATTATTTAAATAAAAAACCAAAAAAACTAAAAATTTCTATTGGAAATAATCAGTAAATTATTTTTCCATTTCAATGAATTTTCCATAGAGTAAGAAAAAGTAAAATTCTTTATTTAAAATATCGGAAAATTAAGTTAGAATTTGATTGTTTTTCGACGGTGGCGGTGACGTCAGTGGTAGTGGCAATAACATCGACGAATCCTTTCGCGGTGGTGGCAATAGCGGTGCCAATGACGTAACAACACGTTGTTGTAAAACGCTATTGTAATTTCATCGACTGGAAAAAATGTTTTCTGTTCTTTTTTGATAAAAAAATTAAACTTTTTCCTTTTTTTTCCTATTTTCCTTTTTCTCTTCGGGGGGCACCCGATTCGAATATTTTTTTTTTAAATCAGGACCGTTTCTAAAATTTTTTTTTTTTTTTTTTTCATTTTCTATTTTATTTATTATCATATCGAACTTTTACGTTATATCGAAATTTTTCGAATTCAATTTAATTTTCTCTTATCTAAATTTTACAGAAACGCGTTAACGTTTTTTTCCTCACATCCTCTCTTTCTCCTTCTTTTTCTTCTTCTTCATTTTCTTCTTCCACGTTTTTCTTTCCCCACGTAACCGTTTTTCTTACGACGAATAATTTCTTTTTTTTTTTTTTTGTAAAATTAAACACATTCGAATAAGAATAAAAAAAAATTCTTTACACTTAAAAATTTTCCAATCGGAATTAATATGTCTGGATACGGCACTGATAAAATCTTTTATTTTTTTTAAAACTAAATTTTAAAAAAAAATAAAATAAAAAAAATAAAATTTGATGTAATTTTAATCAGGGAAAGATTCTTTAAAAAAAAAAAAAAAAAAAATGGAAGGAAAAAAAGAAAAATATGTCTTTAAAAAAAAATTTTTTTTTTTTGTTCTTTTCATCTCCCTCTCACTTCCTCTTCCTCTCTCTCTTTATCCTTTTAAAAAAATTTCATTTTAACGTAATAATCCCACGAAAGGTCACGACGATGGGTGGGAGGGGGGAGGGAAACAACAGGAACAAACGTACGTACCTACACGTATGTAAAAAAAAATTTTTTTTTTTTTCTTTCCCTTTTCTTTCGAGAAATTTCTACGGTTTTTGTTTTTGATTATATAATAAATAAATAATAATAATGATAATAATAATATTTATAAGCTGTGAAAATGAACAAGTGTCTATATATAGATAAATCCTAATCAAATTCGTCCGAATCAGTTCTCGCCTACAAGAGAATTAGTTCTAGTTTAGCAGTCAAAGCTGAAAATGACAAGCTTTCAAGTCTCTTTTATATACTAACGACGGGTTAAAAAAAAAAAAAAAGAGAGAGAGAGAGTGAGAGTGTGTGTGAGAGAGTTGGAGAGAGTGGGAGAGAAAGAGAGAGAGAGTAAAAAAGATAAATAAAAGGATGAGTGTATGGAATATATATTTAAAAACTATGGAAAAAAGAATTTTGTTTAAAATTTTAAATAATAATAATATTATTTTTAAATAAAAGTTTGTACGCACGCGTTTTTTTTTTTTAACAATAAGTTTTTAAAAAAAACGCACGCGTGATTTTAATAAATTATTAAGTTTACGCGCGTCAAGGAAAAACAAAAAAAAGGAAGAAACAAAAAAATAATAAAATAAAAAAATAAAAACAAACGCGGCGTTTAATTAAATTAACACGACAAACGAGTTGCAGGGGAAAGGAGAGAGAGAGGGAGTGGAACAGGAAGAGAGAAAGAGAGAGAGGAAGAGAGAGAGAGAAAAAAAAAGAGAGGAAGGGAGGGAGAGAGAAAATAGTTTTTGGTTATGTTTTTTTTTTGTCTTTTTTCAACTTTCAAACATTTTTTTTAACGAGTTTTATCCAGCGAGATAATTCCAGACTCCAGAAAAAAAAATTGGAGAGGGGAAGGGAAGGAAGAAAGAGAAGTACAGAAGCTTCTAGAAATTTTTTTCAAACTTCTCATAACGCATAAATATTTATAAATTTAACAGAGAAATCAAAAATTTCGAAGGTGATGATGATTGTGATGTTGGTAGCAATGGAGGGTGGCAGTGATGATGATGACGATGACGATGATGATGATGATGAATGTTTGAAAGCACATTTTTAATTAATAGTAATTAAAAGG